ATAACAAACCCTAGCATGTCACTAAGCAATAAAAATCAAATTTTTAACCCTAATATGATACTAACAATCATAAATATTAGGAAGAACATAGGAAGCATCGTAACAATCATATTTAATATTAAAGTATCCCTAGACATGATACTAGGAATATCATAATAACAATGTAAACATGATCTCTACATCATAACATCAATAAAAGCCATTAAAGCACTTACTTTGATGCCTCGTAATTCTTTCTAATAACAAAATACACACGTTAGTAACTTTAAGGAAAATAATAAACAAACAATTAAATTAAATAATTGAAAGAGAGATTTGGGACCAAACCCTCAGAAATTAAACCTTTTACGTCTAGGGCGAAGGCAACTTCGAATATAGCTAGGTGTTTCTAGATCTAATGAATGCGGAATTTTGTATTTGAAAAAAGGCTAGTTTAGAAAAGAGAGAATTAGGGAATTAATGATGAATGAAAACTGATTGTAGGTCCATGAAAACGGGGTTTTTAATACGTTATTTAAGAGAAATCAGCCAAAAAGATAAAATATCAAAATAGAGCACTTGGCGCACATAAAACGAGATTGGCGCACGCAAAACAGAGCTGGCGCCAGCACCAGCTTATTGGCGTCAGGCGCCAATGCCTGGAGTCAGGCGCCAGGCCTGTTTTTGACGCGTTTTCAAAAATCAGATAAGTTTGCCGTACGAGAGGATAAAATCGTATCTTTTCCTCGAAAATGCTATTTGATTTTAATTAAAACTCTGAAAAGTCATCAAAAGTCAATTTATCAATGCTAATTGAATTAGGAATGAAAAGAACCTTCTAGAAGAATCTAGAAGACTAAAACCATTCCTAATTGCATTAGGAATGATATATCATATTAGGCCCTCCCCTAGATCATTGGGCCGCATATAAGGCTCAAACCGGGCCCAGTTTAGTAAATTGGCCATAACTTCCTCAATATTCATCGGAATTGGGCTTATAATATATCGTTGGAAAGGTCTTGTCAAGCCCCATCCAACTACACTACTATTGGACCCATATCATGGACCAACCAAACTGGATTGGCTGTTTTCTTAAAATAAGTTTTCAAAAGCAGATAGAAGAGAAAAGAAATTAAAACTATCCGCAACACTAGACTTTCCACACTTTCGCTTCATTCGATTATGATTCGACGTGAAAGGTACTCATCACTGGGTTTGGTTTTAGGAGACATAAATGGGTGTCTACACTACCCTGAAAAGGCCATCCTTGATGTAGAACATAACCATATACCAAAATCATCATTCCATGAAAATATGGCCAATTTTAGGCCTTTACACATATGGACCTACTATTGAGTAGTCATGCCCATATATAAAATGCATGAAGTGTTGAGTTATGATTACAAAATCATATAAAAAAAATTAAATGATTTGGATGATTTGATAACCATTGGCTTGATGACACCATTATAGTAAAGCAATCGAATCAAGCTAAATTTGATGTTTCAATGTTTTCTATATTTTTTGCCAAGAAAAACGAGATGACTAATCACTTTAAAAAAACACTAATCTTATTTTCTTTTAATAATAGGGCTATTTATTACCAAGGTAATTCAAGTTCTATATACATTGCCTAGAAAGAAAAAAGAGTTAATACAATAAATTGATTTGATGTGTTGACAGCCTCGACGTCAATGTTAGATGTCTTTTTTACAACTCTTGAGCATTGGTCTTCTCACTTATGAAGAGCAACTAATATGTTTGCCTGCGTGGGATATCTCTATCTTCTCCAAGCGGGAACATTGATTGAACATGATCACTACACGAAAAAATGATCGTTATCACTATCACACGTATACCTCACTGCCAAGTCATCACGATGATTCAAATATTAAGTCAATGATCTTCGCTTTTCGAAAACATGTCTAATTTTCTTTTTTAATTCTTCTATGGGAAAGTTGGATTCCCCTTCCTTTTTATACAAATCCGTCTATTTTGTTCATTTCTTTTTTAGGGGGTAAATTGGGATGATCCCTCCCATTTGGCAACTAAACTAGGGGCTAAAAAATCTTGGGCATCCCCACTTCTCTCTATTTACAGATTTGAACACGCTATTTATGCTGCGAAACCAATGTCAAGAAAAGCTTATTACGAACCATCTTAATGACTTTAAATGACAAAGGGGAGAATACCACTTCCTAATATTTGACCAAGATAATTAATTATGGTACTTGATCAAACAATTCATGATAAACATATGCAATATTCCACAAATTAAAAAGGAAATTTTTTTAAATTACCACCCAAAAATGTATTCATTTTTAAAATAACCACCCATTTAATTTTTTATTTAATTTTACCACCCCTTAAATTAAAAATTTACTTAGATTCCCACCCATTTCAAAATTTCGGTGGGATTCTGTTATGAGGACCCACCCAACGGCTAGTAACGACTATGTCTAAGCATTACAATCAACCATGTTTTCACTTCACCTCCCCCTTAAATCAGTTTATTGAGTACAAGACAACCTAAAACAAAAAAAAAAAAAAAAACAACTAAAAAAACCAAGAGCTTGCTGTCTGAATTGCCACTACTATTAATCATCTTCCTCCGGTCACCACTAAGAGTCGTTGGGTGGGGCCCACATATGAAAAATCAACCGGAATTTTAAAATGGGTGGTAAGCTGAGTAGTTTTTTAATTTAAGGGGTGGTAAAATAAAATAAAAAATTAAACAGGTGGTTATTTTGAAAATGGATACATTTTTTGGTGGTAATTTAAAAAATTTCCTATTAAAAATACAAATTTTGGTGCTTCAAATAAACATGAGAAATATCCCCTACCATGTGTATACATGAATTGCAAAAGCCACCTAAGGTTACACTTGGGCTACAAAAATATAGGTCTCACCTCAACTTTCGTTTTGAAATAAGACCATATTTTAGAAAGTGATTAGAACGATTTTTATAAATTATTCTAACACTCCACCAAGCCTATGTTTGATAAACATTCATTTTCAAACTACGGTGCTTATTTAATTAAAAGAACTTCACTTTCAATTATCAAAATATGATAATGATGACAAACACTAAGAATAAAAAACATAAACAAAATTAGATATACGAAAGTTTTCTCACATTTCCATATATCCTTTTTGAAATAAGTTGCAAATTACAACTTACGTTCATCAATCTTGAATAAAAAAAGTCACACTCAATTTCGAGCTAGACTTTTCTTTCCATTTTGGGTCCAGTTTGAAAATAATACGATTATGTATATTGCCTATTAGAAAAGTTGTTTTTCAAAACAAATTTTCATTTAAATTATTCACTAGGTGATAAAAGAAGATTGGCAACGAGCTAAGGCCACCGGTTTTTAAAAACCGATGGGGAAAATATGGGGAAAAATAGGCGGGATTTTAAGGGGAGATTTTTGCCATCGGTTCAAACCGAACCGGTGGGAAAAACCATTTTCCCCACCGGTTTGAAATAAGCCAGTGGCTTTTCAATTAACAAAAACCCCCTCCTATTTATACCCTAACCCTACCCTCATTTAACGATTTCACTAGCCTCCTTCTTCACTCCGTTTCTTTCATCTCTCCCTTTCTCTCCTGCTCTCTCCTCTTCCGCTCTCTCCTGCGTGCTCTCTGGTCTCACCACCACCATCACCGAAGACCGCGAAGACCGACATCTTTGTTCTTCTCCGATTCTCGTTTCCTTCACCTTCTCTTTTGTTTTTACCACCACGAATACGACCACCGAAGACCACGAAGACCGATATCAACATAAAAAACCGACTTTAATCGAGGTTAGGGTTTTAATTAGATTTTAATTTTTCTCATTTTGATTTTCTGGTTTTGATTTTTCTCTCTTTTTTTAAATTTTTTTTCCAGGGATTTCTAGGTTTATTTTAATTGATTTTTTTCAATTTGATTTTTCTGTGTTTAATTAATCGATTTAAATCGATTTTTGGATTTTAATTCAATTTTCTGGGTTAATTTTGGGTTTAATGAATTGATTTTTTTGGGTACATGCATGCGTTTTTTGGGTTTGTTTGATTTATATTTTGAGTTTTCTGGTTTTTTAGGTATTTTTATTTGATTTTGATTTTTTTGGTTTTTTTTTTCCGGGGATTTCTGGATTTCGATTTTGAGTTTTCTTGTTTTAAATACTCTTAGTTTTTTTTCTTCTTATTGACTCAAATTTACTTTCATTTAATCTACTTTCTATCAAATTTAGCAAGAGTAAGAGTAAGAAGTGATTGATTTTCGAAAGTTTATGGGTATATGCATGATTTTTGGGTTTTTTTTCGCATTTTTTTTATAGTTTTAATAGGGTTTTTTTTTTTTGAATTTTTTTAGTTTTAATAATTTATGGGTTTTTTTTTTTTTGCATTTTTTTATGAGTTTTAATAATTTCTGGGTTTTTTTTTGCATTTTTTTTAGTTTTAATAATTTATGAATTTTTTTTTTTAAAAAAAAAATTTATGCAGGTGTTAATTTATGCAACAAGATTCAAGATTTTGATTTTGGTGGATTGTTTTTTATGTTGTAATTTTTTTTTTGTATTGTACAATAACAATTTAACGTTTGTATTGTAATTTTTTAATTTTTTTTTTTGTATTACACAATAACAATTTACTTGTTGAATATAATGTGATTATATTTCATTGTCTTCTGTTATATTGATTGTGATGTTGTTTGTTTGTATTTTACATGGTTTTTTTTTAATATTATTTTTATTATTATTACAGAAAAAAAAATTATATACATGTTATTGCCACCGGTTAACCGGTGGCATTTATGTTAAATATTAAAATAAAAAAGCGAGTAGCATCATTGCCACCGGTTAACCGGTGGCTTTTTAGTAGAGTATTGCCACCCCCACATATTCAACGGTTCAAAATCAGTGGGTTATGGGGGGTTTGAACCGGTACCTAAGTGGTTTTTTTTACTAGTGATTGGACCCTTTTCAAATTTTGGATTGCTGTTCGAAATAATATGTTTCTAACAAAAAAGAGTATTAAAATTTCCTTTCTGAATTTTTTCATTTTCTCAAGTAAATAAATTTTCAAATTCTTAATAACCGTTTGGATAATACATGTATATACATAACTATTTCCAAAAGGAATTAACTAAGAGTTGACTTCTTCTTGAATCGAACTTGTTCTCATTGGCTTAGGGATGGTAAACAAACCACCTGCAAGACCAAAATCAAAGATTGATAAGAACAAAGAAATATTTGACGTTCTAAATCAATTTTGAGAATAAATTCACCGCAATGATCTTTACAAACATTTAGACATTAGATAAGATTGCTAAACCTTAAACACAATTGTTTTTGGTTTGTAGACGTAGGCAATAGGGGTGTTCAAATCCGAGTACCCGGGTTTTAGGGTACCCGGAAATTCGGGTAGTTGGAAAATCGGCCCATGTCCTGACCCGAGAAAACCGGGTACCCGGGTTTCGGGTACCCAATTTTCTCGGGTCGGGACACAGGGTACCCGAATTAATTATGATAATAATTTACTGCCAAAATGTGAAAATTGATGAACAATAATCTACTACTACATACCAAATAATCCATATAAATACAAGTTAAGAAATGAAAATAAGCCATATTATTACAAATTGCTATTGGTATCAAGGAACCGAAGCAACTGAACATAAACTAAGAGGTCTACTGTACAAAACTAAAAAATTAAAAAAATCCAATTCATACAGTACTTCGTATAATCTAATTAGCATATAATAGAAATATCACACAATCATAGTGGTTATACATAAACAAATGAAGAAGGAAGTAATGGAGGAATAATAACAAATTATAATATCATACTAAATAAAAATAAATTAAAAAAAAAAAAGGTTATTGGTTTACTGTAACATGCAACTCATGGAAATGAATGAATGCAATGAGTCAGAGAAATGGGTGCTAATGAATTTAAAGTGGCCCACATTTCTGAAGACAAGTGAAATAGATGGATGACGTTAATCACGAGATCAATTGAAAAATTGAATATGCTGCATCGAGTTGAGATCGCCATTGATGATTTAGATTTTCGATGTTTTGGAGTTCTTCGTCTTCTAGCATTTGGATTATCGCCATTGGAATGTTACTTCTTCCTTGTCTTCTGGGATTTGGAGATGTTCTTGGTTAAATTTCTTGGAGAAGATTGCAACACTTTATCTTCTTTCAACCGAGAGTAACGAAATTAATAGATCAAGGAATGTAAGATGAACAATTGAACATGGAGAATAGATGGAAACCAAGCAAAGAGAGAGAGAACTAGAAGAGAGAGAAAGAGAGGATTAGAAGAGAGAGAAAGAGAAAGCTTTGAGTTTAAACGGCTGAGCGCAAAAGGGGGAAGAAGTGAAAGAAAATAAACCCTAACAGCTAAGAAAGATTCCAGGAAAAAAAAAGCCCTTAACGGGATTTCGGGTACCCACTAACAACACGAACTGGCCCATGTCTCGACCTGAGAGCTACACAGATTTCTCGGGTCGGGAACCCGACCCGAAAAATTAATTTTTTTTAAAATACCCGACTATTTTACATCGGGACAGCGGGTCAACGGGTTGGGACAGTCGGGTTGGGTATTTTTGAACACCCCTAGTAGGCAAGCAAAGAACTAGCTTTCTTGAACATGACTTTAACTAAAATGTGAAAGCCATGTCATTGTCCTAAATATCTCAAAACAAAAATAGGATATATACATAGGCCCATCTCAATATCATGATTATATGAATGACCTAAACTATAGCAAGTCATTTGAACTACCCCATATTGTGGGCTCCAAGACTTGTAAAATAGCAAGAATGCACATAACCCGATATATGGGGGCTCCAATATCCACGAAAAAGCAAAATGAGATATTCATGCCATTCGAGCTACTTTCGAGAATCGCCTAAACTACAAATGGTTTACGTAGATCTCGAGCCTTACAATTTTCAAATGTATTACAATGATTTAATAATTAATCATGTTGTTCCTTTGAAAACTAATTTTGCAACTGAATTTGGCCATTTAACAGGTTAAATACTCGAGCTATTTTCAAAACCTAACCTTAGTGCATAATTGTTGTTTCAATACTTCAAATTTACTCTAGAGATTTACTAGTGGAAAAAAGGCCAACCGTAACGGGCAAAAACTGCCCATCCGTAACGGGCAGCGTCCGTTACGTATGCGGCTATTACAGATGACCTTTGTTATTTGTAACGGGCACCGCCTAATAAGTTATTCGTAACGGGCACCTGAAGATGCCCGTTACGAATAACGGGTTATTTGTAACGGGATTTTCAGGTGCCCGTTACGAATTACGTGGTTATTCGTAACGGGCTTTTCAAGTGCCCGTTACGAATAATCCCATTATCTGTAACGGGACATGGTTTGCCCGTTACGAATAGTGAATAATCAAATTTTTTAAAAAAATCCAGCAAAATGCTGGATTTTGCACACCATTTTATCATTTATTGAGAGATGTTTATATTTTATACAATTAATATTTCTTTCAAAAAAAAAAATACAATTAATAAACTAATAACCAAAACTTTAAAAGAACTAAATTAAACCAAATCTCAAGAATTCTTGTTTTCCAGGTTTAAAAACAAAATTACACTTGTTTCCTCTAAAGGCATTATGTTTTACTTATTTGTCTTTGTATAGTTAAGCTACCTTCAGCCAAACTTAAATCCACCAGAAGGGCCTTCATTGCTCCACATGGTTACCTTTTCAAGGTTGCATCCAAGTCTTCCTCTTCTTTGTAATTGAAGGCTTCATCAAATCCAAATTTGTTTTTCAATAAATCAACCTAACATGGCAGGGAGTTATGAGAACAAGGTAGAATCAGATAATTTCAAAATCAGAAACAAAGCTTTTATTACCTTAAACAGATGAAACACCTTCTCAGCAACAATTTTCTACTGTAGAGTGGCACCCTTCTATTGCACTTTATCAGGATGAATTCACAAATTCGCATTTCTATAAGCTTTCTTAACTGCCACGCCAGTAATCAAATCAGTCAAGGAAACAGGTTAACAGCCACATTCAGGCCAGAGAACCTATTCAAGATTAAGAAATCAGACAGCAATCAGCTGCTATGATTAAATTCATCAAGTAAATAAAGGCCCAACCATACAAATATGAACACAAATAATTCCCAAACCATATTTCATATTTACATTGTCATAACCTCCATCCCTAAATGTCGTGACAAACATAAGGGGTAATAAAGCATATCCAACCAGTTTAACTCTTGATCCAACACAAAGAAGAATAAATAAAGAAATAGCACAACTGCAAAATTAGTAAGCGAAATCAGGTAGAAGAGATCGCCACAATCACCAATTAAAACCAACATGCAGAAACATAAGGTGTCTACACAATTCCAGAAACATAACGTTCTGTGCACACGACTTTTAATCTCAGAAATCATTTATAATGAAAAGATCGAAATAAGCTAACTTCTTTCTCAGTTTGTAACAATTTCTTTGTAATTCAACATGAGCAGACAGCAGCTACACAAAGACTGGTGTAACAAGACACGATCACATCATAAAATTAAGCACATATAAGCCTATGAACAAAGGTTGAATTCGAAATGCTTGAATTTGGTGTAAGAAATTTTAATATGGAAAGGTAATTTACCTGTCCATTATCCAAACGACCCTTATAAACCTTCCCAAAGCCACCTTTTCCGATCAAATTAGACTCCCTAAATTTTACCCACATCATAAGCTTTCAAGAAACTAGATAAAACTCAAGCATCGTGTATAAACACAAAGAGCTTTGTAGACCTAAATGCTAAATAAATCTTCTAAGCTCATACAATAGAATCAACTATCAAGTAATGGTAATTTACCTAACAACACGAACAAGGTATCCTTTTCTGCAACTCAATCTAAGCGCTTCATTTCCACCAGTAAATGTCTGATCATGTGTCTGATACTTGCTTGAACGCTTATTTCAACTCAAATCACGACCCCCACTGTGATTCAAGATTCACGAATAGATAAGAGAACATATCATCAAATGGCATAACAAATAACCACCAGCAAATTTTGGGACAGGCAGGCAAAAAAGTGATTCCAGGTTTTTCTAGATATTTTGCTCAGAACATACTGGAAAAAAAACCCCTAAATTTTACCCACATCATAAGCAATATCACACGGAATCAAATCATCCAACAAAACCATAAATAGCATCAATGCACAACAACTCAGAAACATAACACACCGAAAAAACCCAGTAAATTAGTAAATAACCCAAATCAAGACTAGATAGAATTTGTGAAGCTAATTATAATCCCCACCAAAACAACTATTCACTAGGCATAGCCTCGTAGAGTCGTAGTTTTAGGGTAGTGTTAATTTCAAACAAATCTTAACTGAAGACTAAATAGAATTTACTCAACCAAAAATGAAATATAATCCAAATCCAGTCATTCATTTAATTGCTCCAACAGAAAAATTCACATCCTAGCGTGCAATGAACCAAATTTTTTTCAATCATAGCTTGTTGTAGATTGCAGCCACGTTGATTCAAAGGGCAGGGAACCACAGGTGATCTTACATAAACTAATGTACATACTCCGAAATCTAACCAAATACTGCAATCAGAAAAGATAAGGTTTTGCTTTTATATCTTAATATACATATAAATATTACGCACATTTAGCAACTGAAAGAGTGAAAGTATAGTACACATTGACAGATCTAATCTTTGTCTCAATTACAACACAAACCATCATCCAAGATCTCTTCTCTTTCAAAATTCCCACAAATCATACCAAATTCACATAAAATCAAAACATAAAAAAAAACAATAAATTGCACCCATTACGCACACCAATTCAGACAAGCAATACACCTAAAACCCATATATTATCAAACAAACCAAATCAAGAAAATGAACCAAGCCAAGAAAAAAAACGCAATTATAAAATGAATGAAACAAAATTGACTTACAATGATTATTTTCACAAACCAAAATAGCAGGAAGATTCCAAAGCGCAGCCATATTCAAAGCCTCAAACAATTGTCCTTGATTAGCAGCACCATCACCATACAAAGCAAAACTTACAGTATCATCCGTATTATACTTCTGAGTAAAAGCCAATCCAACACCCAACGGAACCTACGCACCAATAATTCCATGACCGCAATTATTAATGCAAACTGACGATTAATTGAATGTAGAAAATCAACCATGTACTTAATTAAAACCCCTAAATTTTACCCACAAAAACAATGACGATAAAACACGATTATACCACAGCAAACCCAGAATTCAACACAAATAACAACAAAGAATTACAGAAAAAAAGGCATGAAACAAAGAAATTATGATAATTGAAATGAAATAAAAGCAAAAACTAAAATGCAAGATTCCAGTTAAAATGCCAACATTGACATACATAGCATATAATCATCTATGCATGTAGTAGTTATTCAACACCCAATTAAGTTTACAACTTAACAGACCAATACAACATATCAAACAAACTAAATCAAACAAGATAGTACAAATTTGAGCTCAGAAACTGAAAGATCAAGCGAAAAATGCCCACAAATCACAGAATAAATGACAATTTACATAAGAAAATTAAAAATATGAGAAAACCCCATTAAACCCCACGATTATTCTCCAATCTTAGTCAACTGGAATTTGTTAAACGATCAATAATATGATTCCAAAATTAAAAAAAAAATCACGAGTTAAAACAAAAGGAAGAAAGATACCATGAGATTAGAAACCCCAGCAGCGACTTCTTCTGTAAACAACGGTGATTTAGAAGTACAAAATTCTAAGGAATTTAGGACCAAAAATCTAAGAAAACATATAAATTTCTACCAAAATCTTGTTGATGTGTTAAAATTTAGCATACTTTATCAATCATGATGCGTAAAACATACTTGCTCATACAAAAGTTTAGTACTCAATCATTTAACATGAAAGTTGTATCAAGACACTTTATTAACATAAGACAAACAATTTCAAGAGTTAGAATGTAAACAAAAGACTCCTAAATTCTAAATTAAGGAGTCTTCGTTTTAAATTATTCCTCCATTGTTGCACACATTGAAATTTCGCAAGGAGGATAACATCTACTTTCTTCAGCTTCAAAACATTAAAAAAATTTGAACTCAAAAGAAAGAATTTGAAACACTAGTAGAAAAAGGCTCATTTGCGTCGCCATATTTGCGTCACTCATTTTAAAGAACGAAGCAAAGGTATATTTTTACCATCCTTTAAAGTTATTTGCGTCCCTTGTTATTAAAGAAGCGACGCAAAAGTCAAGTGTATGTTAGCTTTCTATCATTTACGTCGCTCTTATTTATTGAAGCGACGCATATAATAACTTTATTTGCGTCACTCATTTATTGACAAGCGACGCAAATAAGGGAGTGAATAAATTGCGTCACTCTTTTAATAAATGAGCGACACAAATAACAAATTTTCAGCATTTCAGATTTTGTTATTTGCGTCGCATTTTTATTATTAAGTGACGCAAATAACTCTGTTGCATTTTAGGTTATTCATTCTGCGTTTTTTTGACCTTAGCTTTTCACGCCTACCTTTCACTAATTCACTAAACAAAATGAAAAAAACAGAGTTGCTTCTACAGAAAACTGCAATTCGACCCTTCAATCCAACAAATTCGCCCAAAAAACATCCACAAATTTGCCCAAAAAACTGCAATTCCCCAGCAAATTCAACATCCAAAATCGCAATCAAGTTCAACACCCATAATCGGCAGCAAATCCGAGCAATTTCGAGCAAAAATTTAGACCAAAAACCCTAAGTAATTCGAACCCTTAAACCCCAGAAAAATTGATTATTTTCGACCAAAAATCCCCCATTTCGAGCAAAAACTGTACTCAATTCCATACGAATTCGAACCCTAGAAACCCCAAAAAACTCAATTAAAAATCCTGCTGAAAAAATTCGAGCAATAACTGAAATTTTCGAGTGGAAAAATCGCTTGCGCGCCTGGCTAGCGCAACCTACAAAGTTGCGCACGGACACTGGTCACTTAAAAGACCAGTACTCAAATTTCGATTCGTTTTTCCCAACGGTTTTGTACGTTATTAGACGTAATAACGCGCAAATTATCGAAATCTTTTACAATTGCTTTGCATCCAGTAATTTATTTTCTTCTTTGATAATTTTTTGCATAATCCTGCATGCATACCGTGCTTTGTGCCTGACCCAAGCATACGTTTGGACGTTTTTCATAAGCGTGTCTTAAGTCGTTCCGTAGTGCTGCCACTAGTACAAAAATGACCTAAGGTAACATCACATGGTATCACTTTGAAAGCTAGAAATTGTACTAAGTTATAAGTAACATTATTGTAACACTTTAACATTAGGTATCACTTGATTGTAACACTTTAATATTAAGTAATATTTTATTGTAACACTTTGATATTAAGTAACACTATTGTAAAACTTTGATACTAAGAAGTGATCACTAACTAAAGGTATTATTTTTAATTTTGTTTAGGAAAAAAAATGCCTTTCTTCATTAGCTCCCAAAACTTATTATTGGCATTTCGATTCATTTGAACTCTCTTGCATTTCATTATTTCAGTCTCTCTTCACACTGCATTCTCCACCACAGCCCCCTCCATCGCAACCGTCTCCTCACCGGTGCTCTACCGTAGCTCTCCTCCACCAGAGCCCTCATCCACCGCAGACCTCGACCTCCTACAGGTTCAACTCTGCGTCTTCCTTTCTTTCCCAATGAAGCGCACTCCACGTTCTCCTCTGAGGCGACCTCATCTAAAACCAATTGAGGCGAATTATGATATCAATTGAGGTGAATTCTCTCAGGTAAAAGTTGATTCTCTATGCAATTATCGAATCTCAATTTCGCAATCCAGGGTTTATGTTTAATTTGGTTGTAAGTATATTCAATTTAGGGTTCTTCTAAACTCGATTATTATAATAAACTATTGCTTATAATTAATTTCTATTGAACTATTGCCTGTAAACTTAATTTTTACTGCCCTAGGTGTTAGAAATATGCATACGGGTTACTGTTGCTGTAGATTTCAGCTCCAAGAGGAAAAGTTTTCTATTTTATTTGGATAAAAATTTTTATGATATCCGGAACACCTACCTCGAGCAACCTTAGGGGAAATTTAAAAGGCAGAAAATATGCCAATTTTAACAATGTAAGTTATCTTTGATATTTGATATTGCAGTGTTAATATTGTCAATCAAGGGTTTATTTTTTGGTGCTGATCCAGACAAGGGGTTTCTAAACTTCTATTATTCATTCTATTCTATTCTAAACTTTTGTTAATAGGATGGTTATGATGAAAATAATTGTTGTATAGGCGTTTGTTTGAGTTAATTAACATTAAGCCTATTTTAATCTTTGATGATGTTTGTTAAACTAAGTGATATGTCACTGCAACATTTTTTGCTAAATTTTCCACGTTGATTTACTGAATTTTAATTCTAAAAATTTGGGAAGAATTGCTCAGATTACTGGACTTATATTACGATGCTCTGTATCTTCATAAAGGTGTTGTTCATTTGGGCATTTTACTCTTGTTGAAACTGCATGCCTAAGGATAAGAATAATATTGAGGGGTTAAATATGAAGATAGGCATGTCAAAGCTAGAGGAATGTCCCAAGAATGGTATTCTCTTGTGAATGAAATTGCAAAAAGGCCTAAGTTTAGTATGATTAATAGACCATTGCTTGTGATATTTTTGGGAGTTTTAGCATGATTTATGTGCTATTGGTTGATGGTAGATAATAGAAGAAGTTGGGTCAAATTGAGGTACTTTGATGATAATTATAACTGCATATATGAATTTCTAATATTAGTGATTGTTTTTGGGTTTTCTCTTGGATTTATAATTTAATTAACTTTGATGTTTAATTATTGATATTTTTGAATTGATTTCTGGTTTTCAGTGATCTATGAATTTTAAGATCTAAATTTTCCATAATTTTTTTATTTATTTGTAGCAAGAATTTGAGTTTCTTAGAGTTGATGTATAGAGGATTCAATGATAGATGCAATTGCGATGGTGAATTATTGTTCTTCATTCACTACACCTTTTTTCTAGTTTCATATATCTAACCAAAAAGAAGAATAAAAAGAGTAGGTTTAAAAAAAAAGAATAAAAAGAGTATGACTTATTGATCATTTGATATCTTATTTATTTATTTCAATTTCTTAAATTCTAGAAATGTCATGATTATTCCTATTCTTACATATAAGACTCGATGGATTATTGAGGTTGGCCTTGGTTGGTGTCATCTAAGCTACAATCCGATGATAGCCATATTTTTATTGCAATTTCGGAAGAATAAGTGTCGTCTATACTGTACTTAATGTACATCCTGATAAACTATTTTATTTTAATTCAAACATTGTGTTTATCTGGCTCCTTATCATTGTTATTACACTTTACTAGGAAGAATTATGGTTGTTTGAAAGAGTGATGTCTCAAAATCCCTTGAAAGATTAGATTATCCCAAAAGATTTTAATCTTTGATCAGGACTTAGGAGTATTCCTGAGTTGAGCAATTACCAAATTTTTATTAGACATACACATATATAGAACACTTAATAAATATATGGTGCACCACTCAGTCCACAATTATTATGATGTCTTGAGTATAACATATGAAAAAAAGTTTTTGATGTCTTTAGTATGAGTTCATGAGTTATAACCAAAAGTTTTTGTCCTGTGGAAATTTATTGTAAGGACAGACTCTGCTACTTAGAGCTACAATTTTCAAATAACATGTACCGATGATAGCCATGTTCATATGTTTGTTGGTTTTCTTCTATTATGAATTATTAGAATTTTATGATTTCATTTTTTGCTTTTCGAGCTCTTTTGATTCATCTATGAGTTGGTTTTACTTTTTTTTTTTTTGTATTTTTTAATCTTTTAATTCACTTACCAAGGAAGACATGGCCTTTTTGTTACAGACCATAGTAGCCTAGGCAACATAAATTAACATAAACTACCTAATAATCTTACTTTTTTTTTAGGAAACCTAATAATCTTAATTCAGACTACATATATTCTAATACAATAATAATAAGGAATTAACCTTTAACTTTATTTTTTAGTCTTACATGTTTTTAAATCCTTCTACGTGAAATTTAAATTGTTATTAGCCCTAGCTCGCTGGTTCCATTGGCTCTGTGACTTTAGTATTGTCCTTTAAAGATGTCAATTTCATTAGTTTTTACTTCTACACATATTGAGTTATTTAATGTGATGGAATTGGACAGATTATTCGGATGATTCTTCGTTTGTTTGACTTTGCAGTAACAATATGATACTATGATTCTTGCCATATTGTGACTCAGATTATGGTTCAATAAAAATCATGAATACTTTTAATGATTTTCATGAATACTTTATTTCAGGGTGTCTGATAAATGATGCTTTCACACATATATAGGATCAAATGGATCAAGATGAAGGATTGGAGTAGCAAGTAACGATGCCATAAGAAATACGTTTTGCATAAATGTAGCTTTCGATTGCTGTCTCTTTAGAACTATGCTCACTGCAATTTTTTTTTTTTTTTTTTTTTTTTTTTTTGGAATTTTGTGGTCTACAGGCTGAAGTTGACCTTTTCTTTTTGGATAATTATATTTTAATGAATTTTTGTAACAAAATATGAAATTTTATTAATTCAAATTATTTTCTTTTGTATATGTTAATTTCACATTCATAGTTGTTATGTTAATATTATTTTTATATTCTTGAAAATAAGTCGAATATTGTAATATGTTACCTATTAATTAACAAGGTGCTACTTTGATTTGTAAAAAGTGATACATAAGGTCGAATATAGTGATACTATATATCAAAAGATGATTGAAAAATGTTTCCTATTAATACATAAAGTGTCACAATAGTTCACAAAAGTGATACATAATGTCTTATGAAGTGCTACAATATGATTGAAAAATGTTACTAAAGATAAGTAAGTGTTACATAAGAAATAAAAAGTAACACTTTAAAAATGATACTAATAATATAAAAAAGTGTTACATAAGAGGGTTTATAATATTACTTTTGAAAGTGTTACCATACGTTACCCAAAGTATTACATAAAACCTTAGGTAACATGGGCGGAAGTA